ATTCATCTCTAAAACATGGGGAGTTAATTGCTTTTATAACATCAGGAAATGGGTGGGGATTCTATTAAATACACAACAACGTGCAATTTGCCTGTCTTTGTTGCTACACACACACACTCTCTCTCTCTCTCTCACACACACACACACACATACACAAACAAGAAGACTAAATGCATGCATTTAAGCATACAACGTATAATAAAAAAGAGGAGTGACACTTTTTAAATAATATCATAATTAATGAATTAAAAGGCAATGACAGATTTTGAGTAAAACTCAGTAGTTATGATCAAGCACTAGGTTTTACTTTTTCACTTTTTTTCACTTTTGGAACTTTTTAATGCAGCTGAATAGAATGCTTTGTGTGATTTCACTGCATTGGCTGACAGCTTTTCCTGTGAAAACAGAATGCTCAGCTGTTGCAATTAATATCCAGATTAGCAATTTGATTCACACACATTATTCTTCACAAGGGACCCAATGTCACAATTCTATTAAAGAATCAGTAGAGTTTTGTGTTTTGAAGTATACATTTCCATGTATTCTGATGAAGTTCAGAATCTACTCATAAACATGTGTAGTAGCAATACTGTGTAAAATCCAGTTGGGAGAAAACACACAGCAAATCTGAATAGAGTTACGATATTCTGCATAAACAGGGCTGTTTATTATTCAAGAGGAAGCCTTCTTAATTTACCAAATAAACATGGGAAGGGGAGAGGAGCATTGCATTCCAAAATTATGAAAATTCTTAATATCTGTAATTGATTAAAGTTCATGCTGAAGATTACAACTTAATGAAATTAGTGAATGTTATATATTATCATTACTATTTACTAATAAACTCAGTTGTAAATAATTATGAAATTTCACGCACTCAAACAATTAATTGAAGATGAAAATTTATGAGCATGAATAACACTAGAGGGAGCTCAGTAACTACCCACTGGAATTTCACATGCCTAGCTTCATTCTGGGACACTAAAAATGCAATGGTGATAATTTACATAATCCTGTGGAATAGTCATTATTTGCATTAAATGTATCTTTGTACTGGTGATGGGTAAACCCCTTTTCAAAATAACAGAGGAAAGATGTGGATTTGGTAGCTGGAGAACATGGTATCTGCTCGGTTTGATTTACTATCTGTGATCTTCCCTGAACAACTTAACTATGGTAAATTCATATCAATTACTTTTAACTGAGCTAGAAATAGCCATTAAGTTAGCCTTTGTCAAGATGACACATTCCATTGTATTTCATTTCATTCCATTAATTAATGTTGAAATTAATTAAATTATCTGTCTAATTTAGCTTAACTACTTAACTTTGACCATTGGGAATAGTTTATATGTTTATATTTGTTAATGTCATTAGCTATTTGCAGTTATGAAATATAGCATTATGCAAAAAAATATAAATACATAATTTCTCGACAAATAATTTAAACATCAAATAGCACCAACAAAATCAGAACTGGCTATTGTATGGCTTCTTTCTCTGGCAACCCCACCTGTCTCAAATTTCCATAGTTTTAATGTAGATTATGTGACTATTCCGTGTATTTTGACTCTCTGGGGAAAAAAAAACAGAAGAGGTAGCAAGGGAATTATTGCAAGTAATGTCATAGTGAACATGCATTGTTGTAAGAAAGCATAGAAAAAGGTGTGAATTAAGTTTTTTTTTTTAAAAATCCATATGTGAAGACTCAGGATTTCTAAAAATACATGTTTTCAACTTCTACTTTTCACTTTCTTAACTAAAAATTGTATTCGCTCACTATTCATACAACTAGCAGCATACCTACACAATTTTAAGTCTTACTAAATAGGATATGTTGAGTTTCAGAAGAATAAGGACAAAATAGTCAGTGGACATAGCCATATAAATGGTGGCCCCAAAGAACTACAATTTTCTCATCATGATTTTCCACTACAGTGTAATCGCTAGTTCACATGGAAACCATATGCGGTTTTGGGAATGATCTTTCATTTTGAGAATCATTTTCTTAGGCTGTTCTAAAAGTCTTCATTGTGCTACTTTTCCAGATGTTGCATAAACTGAAATCTTCCTGAACAATTTTTTTTGTCTCTACAGCCTGCTTTGAGTGAATCCTATGCATTCCATTCTTTAAACATGCACTTTCACATAAATGCATGATACAAAGCTATACAGTATTATTACACTGTGGCATTATTTAATGATTGGTATTACAGATAATAATAATGATATACTATCATTTACACACTAATACAAACTATGCATGGTTTTAATTGTAATTTGTTTAAAAACTGCTTAACCTTAACCTAGCAGCAAGCAATATTTCTATAGCTGGGAATTGTATTTTTAATATTTCAAATTCATTTACTCTCTGAAAATAGCTGCGTTTCTGGCTAATGATATAGCACTATCAGAAAGAATGGGGTTTTAGATTATAAGATACAAAATATTTTGTGACCTGCTGACTAAAAAATATACGACATAATCAGTGATGTGCGTGAGGGATACTGTTGGTGAGGCAAGAGCGCGGCAGCGGCGAGAAGCAACGCCCCCGCCGCTGTGTCCGACAGGCATCTCT